TTTTCATTATTTTTTTATAAATTGAAACCATACCAGTGTGCAATTAATTCCGGACATTTGGTAGACAATTTCGTGGTATCGAATGCGAACTCCTTAAATAATCTCAATAATTTTGTTTATTTTATAGCGGTGAAATGCAATCCAGATCCTATGGTTCTTAGATTGTTGTCCGCCTTAGGAACGGGGTTTGATTGTGCTAGTAAGGCAGAAATTCAAACTGTCCTTGACATGGGAGTGGATCCTTCTAGGATTATATACGCAAACCCTTGCAAACAAGCTTCCTTCGTGCGTTACGCCGCAGAGCGCAATATTAGAATGATGACCTTTGATAATACTGATGAACTCTACAAGATTAAGCGCTACTTTCCTGATGCTCAACTGGTGCTTCGCATTCTTGCTGATGACTCCAAATCTCTATGTAAATTGGGCCTCAAATTTGGAGCTCCATTAGATTCCACCGGATTACTATTGCAAACTGCAAAGGAATTGGAATTAAACGTGATTGGTGTCAGGTAGAGCCGTTCATACTTAACTCGATTGCAATTCGTTTTACTGCGGCTAACAATTTATTACTTCGATAATTTAGCTTTCACGTTGGTAGTGGCTGCTACGATGAGACAGCATTTGTGGATGCTGTTTATCGAGCTAGATCTGTTTTTGATCAAGCTTTAGAAACAGGGTTCAAATTTCATCTGCTCGATGTCGGAGGCGGGTTTTCGCATGTTCTCGATGGTGATGGTATCACTTTTGAAAGAATTGCGGCTTTACTTGGACCCGCAATTGACAAACTGTTTCCGTCTGACGTTCGAGTAATTGCTGAGCCCGGACGTTATTATGCGGCTCCAGCCTTTACCATAGCTACTAATGTAATAGCTAGAAGAATTGTGCTCCAAGATAATGGAGATGAGAAAATTCAGGATATGGATGCTGTTTTCAATGACGCACCTCCGACTGGGAACGACCAGCCTTCATACATGTGTAAGTATTTATTAAAATTCTCATTCACATTTAATTACATTGTTTTAAATTCAATTTTTCTTGAATAGATTACATCAACGATGGAATATACGGCTCCTTCAATTGCATTCTCTTCGATCATCAAATTGTTCATCCCAAAGTGTTGTATAAGGAGGGCATGTTTTCCTTTGACGAAAATTCAGAAGATCCCGAATATAATTGCAGTATATGGGGCCCGACCTGTGATTCCATAGATTGTATTACTAAAAATGAGTATTTGCCTGAATTGTTGCCCGGTGATTGGTTATATTTTGAAGAAATGGGGGCATATACTATTTGCGCTGCTTCTCAGTTTAATGGTTTCAAAAAAAGCGATGTTCTTTACACTACTACTGATCCGCATGTGCTATCTATTCTAAATCGTAGTTAAATGTGGTATTATGAATTCTTATTATATTCTTATTTACACCTTTGATAAACTAGGACAGCGTGATTTGAATATTACGTTTTAGGTATTAGTCCAGATTATTTCTGTGATCAAATTTTGCAATATATTTAGAATTTAATAAATAGAAATTAGAGTTTGTATATTTTTAATAACCACGATAATCTTTTTTAAAAAATAGTATATAAATAAAATAATTTGTAAAGAATTTTTTTAAACGCATTATTAGGCTAATAAGGCTTGTTTTTATTGTGTTAAATATGACCTTCACATATTTTGCTTGGTTTGTTCTTTAATCAAAAAGATTATATTGTAGTCTACGGTCTGTTATCTTAGAATAAATTATATTTGATTTTATGCAAAATTTTTTAATTATTACATGAATTATTATTATTATTATTTTATTTATTGTCTAATAAATATTTTAAAAATTTTTGTATTATTAAAAATAATTTTTTATTTTATTAATAATTCAAATAAATAATTTTTTATCTTATTAATAATTCAAAAAAATATTTTTTTAATTAAAAATACTAAAAATTATATTAATTGTATTATCATTATTTTAAAGAAAAAAATTAAATAAAAAACTCTTTTTTTTTTCTTTGCTGATTTTCTGAAAATATACAAAAAAATATTTAAAAGAAGTTTAATGTTCCTTAATAAAATCTTATTATTTTTTTTCTTTTATTTATATTTTCATTTAAATAAAAACTTGATTTTTAACAATTAAAAAAATCAATAATCAATATCAAAAATCTTTTTTTAAAATAAAGAAATATAAAAAAGTTTTATATAACAAAAGAATAAATAACCAAATATGTAAATCTTGAAAACTTTCTTATTCATATTTTTATTCTTTTATAATTACTTAATTTTTAATTTTTTGAAGGTTTTATTTATTTTAAATTGTGTAAACCTTGAAAACTTTCTTATTTATATTTTTATTCTTTTATAATTACTTAATTTTTGAATTTTTGAAGGTTTTAATTATTTTAAATTGATTCAAAATTTTGAAATAATATAAATTAATATAATTTTTATTAAAAATAATAAATTAATATAATATAAAATAAATTAATAATAAAATATAAACAAGTTTTTATTAATTACAATATACTATATATTAATAAAAAAACATTAATTTGTTTTTTATTTTATTTATATTTCAATTGAATTAATCTATATTTCAAGATTAATAAGATTAAAAATTTTTTTTTTTTTAACTTACAATTATATTACTTTGGTATGTTTTATTGAGATATTGAGAGATATCAAAATATTTTATAAACTTTTTCATAAAATAACTAATTCATTATTATATATTATTAATTAAAGAATTACACTACTTAAAAAATATATGAAAT